TGAAAATGTTTGGGCGCTTATAAAGTTTAAGCTCCGAGGAAAGAAAATATGGACCGTCAAGCAGTTAATTCGACAGATTCGATTTATATGGAGATCTTTGTCTGAAGATTATGCTGTAAAATTAGTAGAAAGTATGCCTCGGAGATGCCAGTCAATTATTGATAATGGAGGCGACTGGACAACTTATTAATAATAAAGCATTGCAGTCTATATCATGCATAATGTATACAACTTTTTTCAATTTATGTATTATCCTAAGTTTTTGAGTTTTGCCGTACACGCTCTTATCAAACATACTGAAGTTCTGTAACTTAAGCTGTCGATATCCCTTGAACAAAATGTTTGCGAGCAAACTTTCAGAAGAAATTTTTGTTTTGAGGTCCTAAATTTATATTTAAAGTTTGGCCGTTTAACCCGGGAACACCCAGTATAATGGTTTTGAGGCACCCTTTGTATTTACACATACCGTAGTATAGCGAGCCCGAGCATCGTATCGTTGCATTCGAAGACGAAACAATCCAGATCGAGTTGCAAAGGATCCATCGCGAGGTCGAAATCAGCCAGAGTCTGATGCTTCGTCGGTATAGCGGCCAAAAATCCTTGTATGGTATTTCGATCTCGCACTTGAGCGCGGCGACTCTTAATCTCCCCGAAAAGAACCGCTCGGTGCAAAACGTACAGCATCATTGGGAAATCCCTGTTGCACCTGAATGGCACGCTCTGCGCGCGCGAGAAAAGTTTGTTTCAAGAATAAGATAATTACTCGATTCCTCCTCTTATCTTTCCTTCCTTGTCCATTTGTGGACAACCGAAACGACGATTTTGACAAGTACCACAAAATGTTGAAGAAACTGGTAAAGTGGACGCGAGAAGGGAAGGAGGATCACGCAATAATCTAAGTCCGGGAAGCAGTCGAAAGCGGCCTCCAGGAAATCGAGGGACCAATGCGGCTTCATTCCTCTGCGCATCGCGAAGATCTCTAGGACGAAGGCATTTTTCTCACCGTGATATGTCGGACGCGGAAGGAGGTCGTGGATGAGTCGCGACTGTACCGTCTCGTTGTCTCCCACCGCATGTAGGGCGTTCCTCTTGCCTTGCGAGAGAGCGTCGCGTTACGTAAAGCACATCATATCGCGTCGCCACGACGGTTATTACAGCGTTCCCTCACTTATTTCGATCACACGCTCTCCTCACGAATGCTTGATTAAAAGAATTACACGAGAAGGAGCAACCAGGTATCTACGACTCACGGGATAACTCGAGCATCGTCTCGGCGAGGACACTCGCTTGCATCTTCGACTGGAATTGCACGTCCACGTCATTCGACGATAAATCACCCACAGACACGAGCCGACAATTGTCCGGCGATGATACACTTGCTTTCGTAATTTGGTCAGAGTGCAATTTACGGAGCTCTCCCGATTCGGAAGATCGGCCCGCAGTTCCCGCGTCGGTCGACTCCTTGGAGTCAGGAGTGATCGTTTGAACGTCACGTAACGTCTGCCTCTGTGATAATATTACTATTAACTTAATTTTTAGTAATAAAAAGACAGACAGAGAGAGAGACAAATTAGTCAAGTAACTAACTATATAATTATGGAAAAATAAATGATAACAAAGTTAATAAAAATACGGTTATTATTAACAATCAATCAAGTTTTCACAATGGCTTCTAATATTAAGTTAAATAATAGTTAAATTATGGTTAGGATATTAAAATATTATACAGAGAGAAAATGTTGTAATAAAAATTACGTTAATATGTTTGCTACTAGCGTTACACATGTGTGACACAACAATCTCTCACTAGAGACAACGTCACACATATACAGAATATCCCAGACTCTCCTTCTCACATTAAGTGGAAATATAGAATGGGTTGAAATAAACATAAAAGTCCTCTACCGTTTTGCGATATTCACAATAATAGTAGAGATATTAAAAAAGATTGATGAATGATCAAACTGAACAAAAAAGTCCTTTACCATTTTGTAAATGAATACATAGATTTTTAGATATTAATTAAAGAACATTTGCGCATTATGGTACACAATCATATACGTAACAATTTTCCTTAATATCTAAAATAAATTAATATCTTAATGTTAAGTATACGACAAACGGCGCCACTGCAGCTCATCTATCGCGCGTGATCATTCACCAATCTTTTTTAATTAATATCTCGACTATTATTGTGAATATCGCAAAACGGTATAGGACTATTACGTTCACCTCAACCTGTTCTACATTCCTATTTAATGTGACAAGAAGAGTCTGGGACACCCTGTATAACGGTAAAAAAGTTTTTATGTCCATATTGTCAAGCTGAATTTGTTATACAATATTATGTAAAAATAGTAAAATATGAGATGGACTGCAGGAAGTTTTCTAAATAAACAGTAATAGAAAACGTGTTAAAATTATATTTCTTTGTATAAGGCTTTTATAAAGCTAGACTATACTGAAATTATTTAAAAAATAGTAAATTTGACGATCTGTCTGGTATACGATATAAAAACATTCAATTAATAATTTTGTAGTAAAAAACCAAACATATATAACGTTTTAAATAAATATATAATAATTTTGGTTATAATTTTCCGTATGGTCCAAGATTACAAAAAATTTTCTTGAAAATTTTACTGCAATATTTTCTCCGTGTATAAATTAAATAATGAACATGAAAAAAAACATGCTGTTAAATCAATAAAATTGGTCAACGACCAATATTATAATTAAAACAAATTTTCTTGATTAAATAACAATGTTATTGAAACTAATAAATCGAGTTATTGAGACAAATATATAATATATTGTTTTAATAACTCGAGTATTTTAACTTCACAATAACATTGCTGTTGAATCGAGAAGGTTTATCACAATTACAGTGCTGTTAATTAATTTTATTGATTCAACAACATTTTTTCTATATAAGTAATTTATTAATTTAATTTTTAGTAACGTTAATAGCAACATTATTTAATTTTAGTTAAACGTTAATAGTAACATTAACTTAATTTTGAATAATTTCAATAGTAACTTTACTATTTAACTTGGTGATTGAACATTGAATAGTAATTTTACTATTTAAATTGAATGTGTTAATAGTGTTGCTGAAAATTAAGTTGATGGTAACATTACTCCAAAATATCGATTCAAAAACGTTACTGTTGCTGCAGTGTTGAAAATTCCACTTGTGCAAACGCGATCATAGCACGCTAAATCGCCGTTGTTGACCTCAATATCTTGTTGAAAAGATACTTCGCGTTTCGTCAATGCGTTTGTTCCTAGCCGCCCGTTCGCGGGAAGATCTTTGCCATTATCGTTCAATTCTTTACAAAACGATAACTCTCTTAGTAATTACCTCATTTATCTTGCCAATGCTAGTGCAATGAAACCTATCTTATTTAATAGGCAAAGTGTACGATGAAGAAGCACTAACCCTTCTTTTCAAAGCTCCGTGTGTCCTCGGTTGTTTCTGTCGCTCGTCGCTCATGCAGGAAATCATTCTTTAAGCTTTGAGTCGGTTGTCTAACCGTGTACTTATGCGACATTTGCAAAAACACAGTTTGTAGGAGCTCACTAGTTGACTCAACGACGTCGGTCAGCTCCTCGTCGTTCTCATGAGGCTTCCGTAGGCCATGGTACCCCGTTAACTCGAAGTTCTCGTTCAATAAATCGATGTCGATTGTAGAGTTGAGGCACATCACGCCCGCTGCCGAGTCGTCGACGTCTTCGCCGATGATAAGCTGGCGACAACCGTCTGGATAACGAATCATCTCGCTGATGTAGTACTCCCCGTAGAGCTCTCTCAAGCGCGTCGTCTCGCCATCAAGAATCAGTACCACGTCGTCGTTGTCCTCCTCTCTGCGTCGTTATTATTCCCATAGAAGCGTTTCGCGTGAAAAGCGAAGGCTGCTGGTCGAGCAGCAATTGAAGGAAAGGTCGAAGTGAAAACTCGAAAGTGACCCTCACACAATTCTCCGTATTTTTAATTTTTGACGGAACTGACTGCGATCGCTCAGATACAAAAATTGCGCTGCCTTGGAGTCTCGGATGCCATCAGCCGGGATTCTGGTCATCTCTCGCTCAAACACGTCCGCTGGAAAATTATACGGGATTCTTCTAGTGAACTGCCTCACACCTGATGGCGCGCCATTCGGGAGAATCGATAGGAGAGGTCACCTGGCGTAACCCGAGGAGGTATCACGAGGATCACATGCTGGCAGTAGGTGGTGATATCGAAGAGGGCAGTCAGAAGATCCTTGAGAAAGTGATCCGAGTAACTATCGTCCCACACGAGCCAGTGTATGAACATCGTGTTCCTCTCCGTGACGGCGGGGATCCTTTGTGGAAATTATATCGCTTTGGATTTTAGTCAAGTGACTCGTAGGAGTCCTCACACTAATCTTTCCCATAAGTACAAATGTCTAAATTGTGTCTAGGAAACACGTATTTATAGTCGTGACTTGAGACTTTCCTCATGCGAGATATTCAGATTTGAATTTAGGTTCATCTTGATAACAATTACTTGAAACTTGTCTCAAATAAGATACTCAGATTTGAATTTGGAATTTGAATAAATTTTTCTCAGAAAGTTGCAGCAAGATTGTAAGTATAATGTTATGTATGTCATATAATTCGACTAACAAATTCAAATCCAACTCTGAATCCCGATTTGAGTGAAACAAGTTTCAAGTAAGAAAATCGATTTTTGCATTTAGAATTAGATGAATTTTTCTTAGTTAAATTGCGATTATAGATAAAAATGTCACATACAAGTATTTCAATTCTCGCAATTATATTAGGACCTTAACTTAGTTTCCGCCCGCAAATGTTAGATGGCAATGCAAACAGTTCTAGTAGTCATTACTAACAAAACAGGTAGTTTGTGATTAATTTCGACATTTCTCGATAACATTCAGTCAGCATACACAATTATTTTCCTAAACAACAATTTCTTTTGCTTTGTGAAAAATGGAACGCGATAAAGTGTTTTTTCGACATGTGCTTTTGCACTATTTTGATTTGAAAAAAAGTGTAGCAGAAGTTCATCGATTACTTGAAGAAGGTTATGGT